ATGTCGAAAAAGTGCACGCCGTTGTGGCGCGAAGCACATTTCGAAGTCAAAATGTACAAAACACGCCAGTGTCGGACCACTTGTGGAAGTTGAGATGTCGAAAAAGTGCACGCCGTTGTGCCGCGAAGCACATTTCGAAGTCAAAATGCACAAAGCACCACATGCTCGCGCCACTTTTGGGGGTTCAGATGTCGTTTCGCGTGGCAGGCGCAAGGGATTGTGCACCTTGTCAAAAGTGAGCAAAACGTGAGGGTTTTGTCGCTTCCAAAAACCATGGCAGGCGTGGGGCATTTGAAGAGGATCTGCCAAGATGCATTTCGCGTGGCAGGCGCAGTACAAAAGACATGTTCATGAGAGATGTTTGGAGGTCAGGGCGCTGATTTTGAGAGGGGTTGCATTTTGGAGCATCCGATCTGTAGGTTTGCTAAGATGATTTTGCGTGACAGGTGCAGCACTTCGTACGACCTGGCATCAATTTTTCGCGGCAGGCGCAAAACTGTAGACAGGTGGAGTGGAAAAATCGCAAAACCGCATTGGTACGAGGCTGTCAGCGCTGCACTCAACTTTCTATATTTGAAGGATTCGGAAAATCTCGCAGAATTGCTTTGCTTTTGATGTTGTCATGTTCAAAAATTGACGAAGTCTCGCAGAATTCCTTCGTTTTGGATGGTGTCAAGTTCAAAAACTGCAGAAGTCCCGCAGATTTGTTTCGTTTTTGACGTTGTTAAGTTCAAAAATTGAAGAAGTCTCGCAGAATTGCTTCGTTTTGGGCGTTGTCAACTTTCGAAAATGAAGACATCTCGCAGAATTGCTTCGTTTTTGACGTTGTCAAGTTCAAACATTGAGGAAGTCTCATAGAATTGCTCCGTTTTTGATGTTGTCAAGTTCAAAACCTGAGGACGTCTCGCAGAATAGTTTCGTTTTCAAGCTTGCAGATAGACAGGTAGATAGATAGACACACAGAGAGAGAGAGAGAGACATACATAGATAGATAGGTTGATGGGGAGATAGATAGATACATAGTTAGATAGACAGATGAGATAGATTGATAGCTAGCTAGTTAGATAGATAGACAGACAGACAGATAGATAGATAGATAGGTAGAGAGAGAGACAGCTAGATAGATAGATAGATAGATCGATAGATCGATAGATCGATAGAAACAGAGATAGATCGGTAGGTAGGTAGGTAGATGGAAAGATAGATAGATAGATAAATAGATAGATAGATAGATAGATAGGTAGAAAGATAGGTAGATAGATCCAATAGATGGATGAATAGAAAGATAGATAGACAGATGGATAGATAGGTAGATATACAGATAGATAGATAGATGGATAGATATATAGATAGATAGATAGATAGATAGATAGCTAGGTAGACACATGAGAGAGATAGATAGATAGATAGGTAGATAGATAGATAGAAAGGTAGATTGATGGATAGATAGGTAGATAGATAGATAGATAGGTAGGTAGGTAGGTAGATTATTAGAGAAGAGAGAGAAAGAGAGGAGACATCAATGACCTTTCGATCCATCAGTGGCTTCGCTCTGCCATCCGTGATTCACAACAACCAACCTCTCCTATAGGTTTCCTATTTTTGAAACTTCCGCCACCGCCTTGTGCGGTACTACTGGTAGTAATAGTAGTAGTAATAGTAATAGTAGTAGTAATAGTAGTAGTAGTAGTAGTAGAAGTAGTAGTAGTAGTAGCAGTAGTAGTAGCAGCAGTAGCAGTAGAAGTAGAAGTAGTTGTAGTTGTAGTGTAATTAGCGTAGCGCAGTGTAGCGTAATATATTTGCATTTGTATTGTAGTTGTAGTTGTAGTTTAGTGTAGTGGAAGTGGTAGTTGTAGTTGTCTATCTATTCCGCGAGACGTCCTCAATTTTTGAACTTGGCAACATCAGAAGCGCAGCAATTCTGCAAGACGTCCTCAATTTTTAAAAGTTGACAACATCAAAAACTAAACAATTTCGCGAGACTTCTTCCACTTTCGAAGTTGACAACATCAAAAACCAAACAATTCTGCGAGACTTTCTTCTGAGTGCAGAGCTGACGGCCTCGTACCAATGGGTTTTGCGATTTTTTCAGCCCATGTGTCTACAGTATTGCCCCTGCCACGAAAAAGTGATGCCAGGTCTTACGAAGTGCCGCGCCTGTCACATGAAATCATCTTACCAAACCTGACGATCTGATGCTCCAAAATGCAAACCCTCAGACCTCCTAGCATCTCTCATGAACATGTCTTTTGTACTGCGCCTGCCACGCGAAATGCATCTTTCCAGATCCTCTTCAAATGCCCCACGCCTGCCATGGTTTTTGGACATGCCACAATGCCCCTGCCAGCCAAAACGACATCTGAACGTTCAAAAGTGAGACCGCCAGTTTTTTACACTTTTGACTTCACGCGCTTCGCGCCACAGCGCCGCGCACTTTTTCGACATGTTAACTTCTCAAAGCGGTCCGACACTGCAGTGCTTTGTACATTTCCACTTGGGCATGTGCTTCCCGCCACAACGGCGTGCACTTTTCCGACATCTCAACTTCCAAAAGTGGTCCGAACATGGTGTGCTTTGCACTGACATTTTCCAAAAGTGGTCCGAACATGGTGTGCTTTGTGCATTTTGACTTGGACATGTGCTTCGCGCCACAACGGCGTGCACTTCTTCGACATCACAACTTCCAAAAGTGGTCCGAGAATGGCGTGCTTTGTTCATTTTGGCTTCGACATGTGCTTCGCGCCACAACGGGGTGCATTTTTTCATCTCCCATCTGGCTAGATGGCTCCGCGCCCGTTGCTTTGGCGCGCCTACTTTCGACCCTCCGGAGCCACAAATCATTGGAAAAACGACTTTTCTACCTTTTCGCCCGACTGAAACTTCTTCCTTGTGACTCTTTCTCTTCTCTGGTCTTCTCTCTTCTTCTCTTCTCTGGTCTTCTCTTCTCTTCTCTTCTCTGGTCTTCTCTGGTCTTCTCTGGTCTTCTCTGGTCTTCTCTGGTCTTCTCTGGTCTTCTCTGGTCTTCTCTGGTCTTCTCTGGTCTTCTCTTCGCTTCTCTTCTCTTCTCTTCTCTTCACTTCTCTTCTCTTCTCTTCTCTTCTCTTCACTTCTCTTCTCTTCTCTTCTCTGGCTCTTCCCACCTCTGCTTCTCCATCTCTCCACATTGTCGGAAATTTGACTTCTAAAGTTCCGCCGATAAATATTTGACTATATTTATATTTGTATAAATATAAATATATATATATATGCATATATACATATAGAGAAAGATGGACATGGTAGGATTGGGTTGGCACACGCCCACAAGCAATTAGCAGAAAAATGCCAGCTTTCAAATCAGCCATTTATTTCCTTTGTGCACATTGTGCACTGCCTAATCTATGGAACCTTTCGGGCATCAGATGTTCGTCCGCTGCCAAGGTGGGCTTGCTTCTGTGGCCAGGTGGGGTAGACTTGGGCTAGACCGCTGTGATAGACTGCTGTAAGAAATCGCTCAGAATTTCCAGAAAAAAGAGACCAGACTCAGGCGCCCAAAGCGCAATTCCGATCACAGAGAAGAGTCACGCGCTGCGCAAGGTTCGATTTTAGGGAAGCCACCTTAAAAGTCATCCAATTTTTTGCCGATTTATTGAAGGTGGTTTTGTTGTCTTATGGCCTCTGCGCGCAAGGTTTCACAGCTCCTCAATGAATTGTCTTCACAGCTAACAGACGATGCCAGGGCGCGCAAACATTTGCTTTTGTGATGGCCTTGGGATGCTGCATGTTACCCTTCCTCCGCGGTTGTTCCACGGCTTTGGCAGGAGGACATCAAGCAGTTCACTGAGTTTGAAAACCTGACCAAGGCCTTGGCCAAAGTGTGACACTAACCAGGTAAAGTAAGGTAGACTGATGTAGATTGAGGTAGACGCAAGGACAAAAGATGAAGATGCAATCATTTGCACTCACTTGCAATCGCTTGCAGAGTCGCAGTCATGGCTGAGGCGAACATTGCAGCTGCAAATGCTACCGTGCAGAAAAGCACTGCTGACGTGGCTGAGCTGAAAGCCACAATTGCTTCAGCCGACGCCTTCCAGGCATGACAGGTGTAAGCACAGTCTAGAACGCTGTAGCTGTGTGCTGTATATGCTGTATGGCCTGTGAAGAAAAGCTCTGTTCAGACTTGGACTGTGGGCTGCCTTTGCCTTTCTGCTTCATGCCAATGTTCGCTTGCAGAAACCTTTTCACAGACGGGTCACGGATGTAACAAGTCCGGAAGGCGGAGAAGAAAGGTCAATTGGCTGCAGCAGCAGACAGCCTCCTAAAAGCCCAGCAGGAGAGACCAAGACATGCCAAGATGACAAGCCAAAGTGATCTACGCAGAAAACTGCTGCGAAATCAAATCTAGATACTTCAAGACATTTCACACAGGACCTGCAACTTGCCAAGCAGCAGCGCCTCTCAGAGAAGGACTCTTGCCGCGAGCGCTGGAGTCAGACCAAGGGGATAGGATAGTCCATGTATAATTTCTATGCTAACGCTCGCTGTATAATGACGTGCCTAGATTTTTGTTCAAGTGCCTTGCGCTTTGCACATGGTGATCTGGCTTTTGGGCGGTTTTTAAAGGAAGGATAGAAATAAAATAGATTAAGTATAAGTATAACCAATATGACCATCTTTGCGTCCAAATTGGGGGACAGGAGGCCTTCATCAAGAATTCCCAGCGGCTGCAGAGTCCTCGGACTGCTGACCTTTCTGACTTGGCCCAGCACTGCAAGGGTTTAAAAGAAAGAATAGAGTCAGAATAGAGTTTAAAGTTTAAACATGTTTCAAAGAGTCGTCCAATAGGGCAGACCAAGTATGCACTGTTGTGCTGGCGAACCAAGCTTGCAGCCTGCTTGCAACTAGTTTCAGGCAGCAGAGTTCAGAAAGCTTGAATTTGGCTTTGACAACAGTGAAAAGCTATGCCCTCAAGTTTGAAGGGTCTCAGGACGTCCTTGAGGTTGTAATGACCCTTTTTATTTACATTTGGGATTTGTCAATTGCTGCTGAGGTCTATTCAAAGATCCTTTGCGTTCTCCTCTGAGAAAACTTCTGCGCTTTTGCAGACTGTCTTCGTTGGACCTCATGACTCGCCGGATTTCCTTAAGGAGAGAGCCCAGCAGCCCCTGCAGCCCCTGCAGCTCCAGCTGCGGGTCTTGTTCAAGCCACAAAGCAGATCAGGAACAGCGCGGAAGTCAGCTCCGTTTGCAAATCAAAACACAAAGGAGAACAGGTCTGTCCAAAGGCACCCGATATATACAACATGACAGCTCAAATTTATAGATGGAAGCTGTAACTGTGCCAAAGAATATATATATATATATAGATAGATAGATAGATAGATTAGATCAGACTAGATTAGATCAGACTAGATTAGATCAGACTAGATTAGATCAGACTAGATTAGATCAGACTAGATTAGATCAGACTAGATTAGATCAGACTAGATTAGATCAGACTAGATTAGATCAGACTAGATTAGATCAGACTAGATTAGATCAGACTCGATTAGATCAGACTCGATTAGATCAGACTCGATTAGATCAGACTAGATTAGATCAGACTAGATTAGATCAGACTAGATTAGATCAGACTAGATTAGATGAGATTAGATTAGATGAGATTAGATTAGATGAGATTAGATTACATGAGATGAGATGACATGAGATGAGATAGATAGATAACATATTTGTCAACATATACTCTGCTGACACAAACCAGTCAGTCTCGAGACATAGACAGCTGAGATGACGGCGTACATGTTGCTGCAATCATGCGTGCAACGACAGCCTTAACAAGCGCACTGGAAGGACTGCGCTCAATGCTGGCGCAGACGAGCTCCTGACATCCAACCAGCGACATTCTCATTCCGAAGAATTTGATGTCACTGGTTCAGGCGTACTGAGTGCAAAATCATTAGCTGCCTTGAAAAATTCGCAGGCCGCGGCAAGCCGGAAATCGAGAGATACTCACAAAACGTAAGACGTAGATAAAGCTTGAAAGAAAGTACAACTCGCGTCCGCTATGAATGCTGAACATGGCCGAATGTTCTTCCGTCTTCAGTTCCGACTTCTCTGGTCGGTTTCGAGGAACAGAGTTGCTTTCGCACTCAGCAAGTACTCAACAGACTAAAAGTATCTAAAAGTCACATATCTGGATTCGTAGCAATCTCAATTACGAAAGCCAGCTGTCAAGCGTGGCGAAGTTGCTCATTGCGAACGAAGTGAGAATAGGGGGTCTGGGGGGTGGTCGTCTCCAAACGGACAATTTTGAGGCACTTCCCCACCTAATTAGGGTGGCCATGGTGGTCGATTTTGAGGCTGACGTAGCAGGTGGCAATTGGGTGACGGTGGGGTTCGATTCCCCCCTGGTCCGTCCTCCGATAAAGGGATGCAAAAATGGAGTCAAAGCAGAACAGAACAATGGAAAAACTTGGAAAGAGTAATGGAAAAAGAGAGGGAACGGAAGGATAAAATAAAGGGGACGGATTGGAGTGTCGGGGCGGGGTGCACGATGGGGGGAAGGTTGGAGGGACAAGAGCGTGGCTTGGGCGGGCTCTTTGGGGCGAGGCTCTATTGGGTGGCTGCTGGGAAGCAAAGGAGCCCACATAGTGAAGGTTGCCAATGGCTGCTGATGTTTGGGGGGAGGTGCGTGGCTGGCGGTGCACATGGTTAGATTGGAGGGAAGAAAGGGCGTGGCTTGGGCAGGCAATGTGGGGTGAGGCTCTTTTAGGTAGCTGCTGGGAAGCAAAGGAGCCCGCAGGGTGAAGGTGGCAGATGGGTGCTGATGCCTGGCGGTGGGAGAGGAGTGTAAAGTGTAAAGTGTAAGGTATGGAGTGTAGAGTGAAGAGCTTCGAGTGTAACGTGTAGTGTGTACAGTGTAGAGTGTGGAGTGTAAAGTGGAAAGTGGAAAGTGTAGTGTGTACAGTGTAGAGTGTGGAGTGGAGTGGAGTGGAGTGTAAAGTTTAAAGTGGAAAGTGTAACGTGTAGAGGGTGGAGTGTGGAGTGAGGGGTGCACAGTGGAAAGTGTAAGGTGTGGGAGTGTAGAGTGTCAAGTGTAGAGTTGAAAAGGTCACGGGAGGTCAGAGGAGGTTACGGGAGGTTACGGGTGGTTGCGGAGCGGGAAAACGGAGAACAGTGGCGGAAGAGCAGGAAAAAGGTAGGAGGCACCCGACGAAAAGGACAGAAATGTCAAGTGTCAAGTGTAGAAGGGGGAGTGTGGAGTGGAAAGTGTAGAGTGTGGAGTGTAAAGTGTAGAGTGTAAAGTCTAGTGTGTCAACTGTCGACTGTGGAGTGTGAAATGTGAAGTGTAAAGTATACACTCTAAAATGCAGAGTGCGGAGCACCCACCCGCCTTCACTTCATTTTTCAAACACACCACGGAGCTTCTTTCTCCACAGGCGCCCGCTTCCCCTTCTTCCTTGCCTTCCCTGCCGCCGACACCTCTCTCTTCCGGGCTCCTTTGCGCCCCGCCAGCTCTTTAAACGAGGCCCCCCTTCCACTTCTTCCTACGCCCTCTTCACCCTTCCCTACCTTTCCCACACTTCTTCCCTCCGCTCCTTCTTCCTACACATTCCTTCCTTCTCTCCAAGGACTCCCCACGGCCACACCCAACACAGCCTCACCATGCCGGCCCCTCCGCCCCTCCCCCGATGCCCCCACCAACCCCCCGCCGCAATCCCTCCCATGCTCTCCACTCTCCTGTCCCCGTTCAAACTTGACCCTGGCTTTCGTCCCCTCTTCTCAGGTTTTTTCTGCAACACATTCGGCTTAGCAATTTCATACCAGTGCCTCCATTTGGGCAAACAGATTTTCCGCCAAGGCAGCGTTTTCTTGCCAAATTGCTGAGTGCTCCAGCGAGGTCGGCTTGACGTGTGGAAAGCAGTTGATGCAGCAGTGACCTAGTCTGACCCAGTGCACTTTGGTTTTGGCTCTTTTGGATCTTTCCGGTTTATCACTCGAGCTGGCAGGTCTTGGCGTCAAAAGGCAAAGCTCTTGTGAGTGGAAAGGAAAGTAAAGCCTTGTGGTTTCTCTGAAGTTTCTGTCACACTGCTTTCATTGCAAATGCAATTTGGATCGAGATGGCAAAATTTGAGTTTAATGGTTCTTGCCCTGGAACGCATGCATGCTGGATAGGCCCAAATTTCTCCTGGTTTTCTTCAAGTTCTGGCCTCTGTTGTTCCTCATTGGGTTTAGGCTTGGCTATGCATGGGTATGCTTGTTGCATCTTTTGCTGTGAATAGGTCGAGCGAAGCCAACATAAAGAATCCGAACAGGCTTGATTGACCGTTCTGACAGGATGCAGGAAGCACGTGTGTATTTTATATGTCTATTGCAGTTTGTCGGCTGTATGCTGTTGTTGTGCTGGGCCTTGTTCGTTGTACACTGAATTGTTCGGTTGCAGTGTTCCAACCGTCCTAGTTACAAAGGGATATAAAGGAAGAGACATGTACTGTAAAGTAAAAGCTATTGATCCTCCATGACACTGTTTCGTTCTTGCATCCGTTGAGGCATTCTGGCAGGGCCCGTACGGATGTTCTCATAGATTGCAGAAAGGTAGGTCCAAGCAGCAAGGTTAAAGGTGCAGGAGGGAACAAGGAATGTAGTTTTTCCTACATAGAAGTTTTGATTTGTCCAGCAGAACAGCAAACAGGGCAGTTCGAGCCTCGTACTAGTCCTTTGATCTAAACTGGATGTCCACAGGGGTTGGCCAAAGCTCGGCGTCCAGCAAAAGGTTTGTCAGAAAGCATACAGCATATACAACATATATACAACATATACAAAGCAAGTTTCCCAGAATTTGAACGAATTGGAACGGACATGTTTGAATCCAAGTTCTGAAGGCTCCACAGCTTCTGGGCAGTTGGAGGGGTGGAGGGTTTGAGGGTTGAAAATCCGGAAGACAACCAAAACAACTGGTGCTCAGAATCACAATTTCTGTATCATGCATACTACTTTAACGCGCAAAGATCATTAAAGATCACTAAAGAGCTAGATTGCCCTCGCAATGCAGAAACACAAAGACACACGTAAACGAGCCTGCATGCCTGCTTACAATTCTCCACTGGACAGCGGAAGGCCGCAGAGAAATCCTGCACTAGACACTGATGCACTGCAGGGCCTTGAAGACCTGGACGGTCCAACGGATGGTGTTGGAGACTTGACAGTGACCTTGAAACAGGCGCGAGCTGGCAAGACTCAGCAAGACTCAGCAAGACACTGATGCACTCTGCACTCATCCACTCTTCATAGTTTTTTTCATATTCGCGTGGCAGTTCTTATTTTGTCATGGTGTCACTGCAACAGGTCAAGGAGCAAACAGAGAATGAGATGTCTGCCACACGCAAGGCAGAGCAGAAGCACCTTGGCAGCACTGGTACGGAGTCAGACAGGTGCACGTGGTGCAATCCAAGGCGGCGTTTGCCTGACAAGACAATGATGATATCATTTGTTGTTGGAATGTTCTTTACATGCTGTATCACTGCACGTTCCCATCATTCCCTCCCTTCATCCTGACACCGGCCCAATAACCATCCAAGTGCAACCTTGCACTATCTATATATTTAGAACAATTGCACGTCCTCGCGTTCTAGCTCCGAGCTCCCGCCCTCCTCTTTTACCATGTATTTTCAGCACCAGACTTCTCACACTGCACTGCACCACTGCACCACATGCAGTAGTTCAGGGGGTACCTGTCATACCGTCATACCCCACAAAGATCTGTCCTGATGTCGTCCATCGGTCTGCGGCTGTGAGCTGGTCAAGTGACTGGCTACTTTGACATTCGAACAGGGCACCGTATGCTTGTTCACTGTCTCATTCCGCTACCTGTAGTTTGCTCAAAGTGTAGCCTGCGCCTTGAGTTGCATATCATTGAAGGAAGTTTAGAAGTCAAACTTCCGACAATATGGACAGATGAAAAGCAGAGATGGGAAGAGTCAGAGAAGAGAAGAGGAGAAGAAAGAAGATCAAAAAAGAGAAAGTTCCCAGAAGAAAGAAGATCCAGGTGCGCGAAAAGGTGGGGAAGTCGCGAAACACCGTGTTTTTCCAATGATTTGTGGCTCCGGAGGGTCGAAAAGTACGGTAACGACATTTAAATATGTGGAGGGCGGGCCAGACTACGAGGCCCCGGAGGTAGTATGAAACACCAGTTCCATCCGTATGTTTACATGGCTGGGCCCGTTCCGCATATTTAAATGCCGATTCAAGCACAGTTGAACCATTAGCAAAGAAATGTTCAGCCTACCCGGGATGCTCAACTTTGTAGAAAAAACTTATTCAAGGTGGTTCGCAACAATCGTGCTACAAGCGGGGGTGGCATGGCAATTTAAATCATTGTATGGAATCGTGCACGTTGCTCTCAATTCGGAGGAAACGTCGCAGTTAAACGGAATGAGAGAGTTCAAGCGATTGAACTGGATTTGACATGCAACTGTTACAGATTTTATTTTAGCTGGTCATAAGGAGAGAATTGCTGAGGCACCCTGCCATGCACACTGGCCAAGCCGCTTGATCCAGTTGAAAATTCTGTGGGTCTGATACGTTCACAACCAGCCTCAAACGTCATGAGGCCCCCGGCCGTTGAGTTCACATAACTTTGAAATTGGAAACCAGGGCTTCGAGCTGTCGATCCGATACATTCATGACATCTTCAACAGTTAAGTTAACACAGGATTCGAAGCCAGAGCTCCGATCTATTGAGAAAAATCGATTCGTTCTGGAAAATCCCGGGGGGTCAGAATTTGAATCCAAAATAAACGTTCTCAGACCATGACAATTTCATTGCACATCGACACGACAAGACATAAAGCTGACAGAATGCAAGTCATGAACTGGCATTGTATGCGTTTGAGCAAACTGGTTTTGAGACGTCGAAGCTGGGATGATGTGATCATACTAATTTGTGATTTGTTCACAAAGTCTAAACTTCAAGCTGTTTCTGTCTGGTTGGCTGGGAGTTAGAAGAAACTCTTGAGTTTGAGCATGTTTGAGCTATTTGCAGTGAAGGAGGCCTAGTCAGGATCAGTCGCATCCGAGCTAAGGTTCGGGATGTTATAGCCTTTGATGTACTTGTGCTCTGTAGCTGAACGTACGCAACAGTTTTCTATACTACATCGACGGAGACATTGTATCTCAACAGTTCTGACCCGTGGGCTGGTTCCAAACGGATGGATGGAGGCTAGAAAGCGAGTTTTCAAAACACTCTGCAAACTAATCAAGTTCAGAATTCCAATGCGGTGCGGGCAAAAGTATAACTCTGTTGTCAACGTATCGATGGTGAAAAATCTGACTTGCCTGAAATTGACGAAAACAGGAAAGACAAGTTTGTTCATGCACTAACGCCACTGATGCGCAGAAAATGGGAGCCCCTTGGGCTTCCCATACTTGCTCCACAACTTTGAGTAGGTGGTCAGTCCAACTGTGAAATAACTGTGATCATGCCACCAAAAAGAAAAATTGAAGGATAAGTCGTGGACACGACAAAATCGTAGAGCTGATAAAGTGCATGTCACAAAATGAACCGCTGCTATCTGCACTGAAGGAGGCCAAGCATTTGTCAGGATTAGCCAAATCCGAGCTAAGGTTCCGGGCGTTATTGCCTTTGATGCACTTGTATTCTGTGATGGTTGAAATCTTTTGAATGGGTTGAACGTAGGGAACTTGGACTGCTTCTAACAGGATGGGTGGGTTTCCAAAACAACTCAAGTTCAGGATTCCAATGCTGTGCAGGCAAAAGTATCACTCTGCTGTCAACATTTATCCAGGTATCGATGGTGAAAATCTGCTTTGCTCGAAATTGGAGAAAACAAGGAAAAATGTTGAGTAAATTCAACCGGGATCAGTCTAGCGGCGAGTGCCACCAATTGTTGCTGGTTGTCGTCGATCACCAGGTCAACAGTTTCAACGAAGGCCCGGATTCTAAATGTAGCAATATTGGAAATACCAGTACTTCCAAAGCTTTGATATCAATCCTTTCTGATTCATCCCATGCATTGATAGAGGTACCGCCATTCAGCCTTTCTAGTTAAAAACAATTGTGCGCAAATAATGCGGCCGTTGGCAGTGTCCCCAGAGTCCTATCTGTAAAAGAGAATTTGGAGATTGTGCAAGATCAGCCATAAAGCAGTTTACAGCAAATTCAATTACGTCATAAGGCCCCCGGCCGTTGAGTTAGCATGGGATTTGAAGCCAGAGATTCGAGCTGCCGATCCGGTACGTTCGTGACCATCTTCAGACGTCATAAGGCCCCCGGCCGTGATCGTGAGTCACGACGATGAGAACTCATGTTTTACCTCCTAGCTAAATTGCAAACTTGATCCACTTCATATTGGAAAGCGAACGTTTGTCATAAGGAAAGTTGGTCAAAAAAGGAACATTGGCCAAAAAGAACAGTACAAGTCAAAATGAAGGGCAGATCACTTTGAAAAGCAAGCGAAGTCTTAGAGAACTAGGTCCGAATCTTAACACTTCATGAAATTCTAGGCGCTGCATAACACATGAAACGGAAAAACAGTGACCTGACCGACCTGGCCTTTTCCTATGCGACAAAAACTGAAAAAAATCACATGATCAAACGCCAAGTGCTAAATGACCCTGACTGAATTGGAAGAACGTAAATTTGCACACACCGTCACGAAATGACAACGCAACGTGAAGCACGCGAAATGGTGTCATTTTTGACTCTGAATTATGGGTTGGTCGCATTGTTTGTGACATGTTTGTCTGTCGTCTTTGAAACCGAAACTCTACGTAGAGGATATTAGGCACGCCAGATGTGACACTGGGCTTAAGTGCCACCGTAATCCCCATGTTTTGTCCCGTCCGATATCGCCTCCAGCAATGTTAGCAATATGTTGTTGTCTTGAATATGACATACCAACCAGGCATGTTGGTCGATCAGTCGTGCAATTTGCATATTTCTGGGCCTTTCTTAACACTGAGATCAGAGTCGGTTTTGTCATTGTGGGTCGGGCAACTGTGACTCCACGGCAGAAAAATGTCAAAGCCGGTATCTAATGTATCCAAGTTTCATCTTGGGGATCTGTTGATGAAGGACGAATATAACCATGAAAAAGACTTGCTGCCGCGGACCAAATGTTCGTATTGTGAGCAAAACATATGTATTCAGCAATAGGTATCACAGGTTCTTGAGTAAATTCGACTGGAAACAGCCGAGCAGCAATTGCAGCAATTGCCACCAATTGTTGCTGGTTGTCATCGATCACCAGGTGGACGGTTTGCGCCCAGACTTCTGAATGCAGCAATAATGTAGATATCGATACTTCCAAAGCTTGAAAAATAATGGTCGAAGATCTTTGATTTCGGTCATGAAATCTTGTTGATGAAGATCTTTGAATTCGGTCATGAAATCTTGTGTCAACTCTTGTTTTAATGACGCAACTGAACCGACAGGACGAAAGCAAGGCTGTTTCTAAAAAAATGTTTGAGAAGGCTTCCATTACCAATCCCGTAGGCATTCTGAATGCGAGCAGGATCTTGATATGAATCTTGTCTAATTCGTCCCATGCATTGATAGAGAGATACCGCCGCTCAGTCTTTTCAAGGTGATCTAGTTTCAAACAATTGCGCTCGAAAGACGCCGTCGTTGGCAGTGTCCAGAGTCGAATCTATCGGCCGATCCAGAAGAGTCAACGGTCGATAATGAGGGCAGAGCACTGAGATGACTCAAAAATTCTACCTTCATCATCTGTTGATTGAGACCGGACCAGAATCCAAACATCAATGATCCGTACATCTGTGGAAATTGCATATTTTGAGCTTGGTGATTTTCAGTCTGAAGACCGGCCTGTAAAAATGATTGAGCCTCATGTGGATTGGTTCCTTGCAAACGGTAACGTCCAAACATGTCCAGTAATTTCCAAACTTGGTGAACGATCTTGTTGATTTGCAGGAGCACGAAGTTGCTGACTAACAGGTGTAACCCAATTTGGTGGAGGAGTATTACCAGGTGGACATCGAGACTTCGCAAAGGCAGCTGGGATTTCAGATTCGGAAGGGGACAACGTGGCTGTCACAAAACCAGGAAACGTGTGAAAAACTAGATGAGAATGTGAGCAAGAGTTGTTTCTTATATGTTCAAACATGTACGTCTGAGGCTTCCGGCCGTGGGATATAAAATTGGTTCGAATCTTTGTCTCAGAATTCCCGGCCATACGGCCTGCTGCTGTCTTGTGACGTATTCTTGTCTTGTGACTTTTTCCATGTTTCCGTAATTCATACATTCCGGCTTTAAGCCAGATTCCCACGGGCACCAAGTCCCGTCATGAATTCAAGGTATTGCAATACCCCACTTTACACCCAAAAAAAGAACTCCAGTCACGTGTGCGCCACACAGAGCGCACAGGCGGCACTCACAAGTCAGTGAGACTGTGCCCATTTCACGCTGATGAGAGTAGAATTTACCCTGGTGTAGAGCTGTAGAATGTCGAAAAAGCGATCGCCTGTGTGCCTGGACAATAATTATGATATCATACAGCCTGATGAGAACAGCTGGTCGATTTTGTTTGCAGGAACACATCAGGACGTCTCCCAATGCATCACCAGAGAATGTGGGCGCCTTCGTTGGCAGTGATCCCACAAACTCTGCCACTGCCCCCTGCTGAATTTGACATTTATTGATTCTTTCCCGCATGACAGCTAGCGGGTTTCACACTTGCTCAGAGCTGTCATTGCGAATTTTGTTGTGGAATGCATGTTACGTGCAAAAACAATCCCTTTAACCTGACAGGAGTAGGTCACTGAAAGGGCCCGAAAAACAGTGAAAGCTGTCATCGCCACAGCCAGTGCTAAATGGAATGTATTGGAAGCTGACTCTTTCCTTATCAAGAAATTTGCAGATTGCGACAACAGTGCAGAAAAGAAGTGCAAAAACAAATCGTCTTGCCGGTTCTAGGCTTAGCCGGTTGCCAATCACGCGCACTGATTGCAAAAGAAACGTGAATGGAAGCACACCCTGAACAACAGGTGATCCCAACTGTGCAGGTACATCACTGGACGTCTCCAGTGATATCCTCAGGACATTGCAGAGAGCTTTGTTAAGTGGGGCTCTGCAGGCCTGCTCCACTCCCCTGCGACAATCATTCAAACTGTAGAAGTTTTACATCTCTTCAGATGTTTCACACAAACATATATATATATATACACAGACACATATATAGACATATACATACATACATATATATATATACTCGTTTAAATGCATGCATACATGTGGACTTGAACGGTACATATATATATATATAGATATATGTGTGTGTGTTTTAAATGTATATAATATATTCATATATATATATATACATGTACAGATATAGTTACTTTCACATACATATACATACACATATTTGTACATATAAACGTACATATCCATACTTATCCATACTTATCCATGCTTATCCATACATATCCATACTTATCCATACTTATCCATCCATACATACAGACATACATACAGACATACATTCAGTCATTCACTACATAACATGCATACATTCATTCACTCATTCATTCGTTCATTCATTCATTCATTCATTCATTGATTCATTCATCTATTCATTCATTGATTCATTCATTCATTCATTCATTCATACATACATACATACATACACATACATACATACATACACGCACATACATACATACATACATGCAGACATACATACATACATACATGCATGCATGCATGCATACATACACATATGTATATGTATGCACACATCACATACATACATACAACACATACATGCATACATACATACATGCATGCATACATACATACATTCATACATTCATACATACATATATACATACATACATACATACATACATACAGACAGACAGACAGAAAGACAGACAGACAGACAGACATACAGACATACAGACATACATCATACACACACATATATATAGATATTTATATATGCATACATACATGCATACATACATAAATACATACATACACACATACATACATTCTTACATACATACATACATGCATACATACATACATACATGCATTACATATTACATGCATATACACATCTATATGTATACGCAGGCATGTATACAGGCATTCATACAGACACACATACGTACGTACATACATATATCCATACACACACATATGTACGTACGTTCCCGCGTACCTACGTACATAAGGACATACGTACATACGTACATACAAACATACGAACATACGTACATACAAACATACAAACATACGTACTACGTACATACCTACATGTGTAGATACGTATATACATCCATTCCTACAGACATACCTACGTACTACCTACATTGTCCCAGGTTACATACATTACATAAATTACATCCATTACATACATCACATACAGTGCATACAGTGCATACAGTACATAGATTACTTACATTACATGCGGTACATACATTATATACATTACATACGCTACATACTCTACATACATATCCCTCCCACGCCACAGTAGCAGAGGGGAGGCGAATCGTACCCATGAAAATTTGACATGTTCTGGACCCTGTATGGATGATGGGACCGTTCGCGTTTCATCCATCCAGACATCCGTACATGCATGTATGGGTCTGTCCTACCTCGTTCACCATTCCTTATCCATCAGTTGCCATGACCTTTAGTATCGCGCGCATCCTTCCATTTCATATAAGTTTCAAAATCATGTTTGTTTTTGGCAAAATTGTCAGCACTTCCAATTCCAATTGAGATAATTGAGGTCGGCTGAAGCCTTCCGAGAGCTCACAAAGTCTTTGGAAGATGAAACTTGGCGTCGCACCGATTTTAGGGAGTTACAAGTTGATACCCACATTTTTCCCGAGAGCGTCTGAGCGCAGGGTTCTTCCAATAGTGGGGGTCTGTAAAACATCTTCTCATCTTCACATCTCATCTTCACATTCTCTCATCTTCACATCTTCTCATCACCTTCACATCTTTTCATCTTCACATCCTCTCATCTTCACATCCTCTCATCTTCACATCCTCTCATCTTCACATCCTCTCATCTTCACATCTCATCTTCACATCCTCTCATCTTCACATCTTTTCATCTTTACATCCTCTCATCTTCACATCTTTTCATCTTTACATCCTCTCATCTTCACATCCTCTCATCTTCACATCTTTTCATCTTTACATCCTCTCATCTTCACATCCTCTCATCTTCACATCTGCTCATCTTCACATCCTCTCATCTTCACACCTTCCCATCTTCACATCTGCTCATCTTCACACCTTCCCATCTTCACATCTTCTCATCTTCACATCTGCTCATCTTCACATCTGCTCATCTTCACATCTGCTCATTCATCTTCACACCTTCCCATCTTCACATCTGCTCATCTTCACACCTTCCCATCTTCACACCTTCTCATCTTCACATCTGCTCATCTTCACATCTGCTCATCTTCACACCTTCCCATCTTCACATCTGCTCATCTTCACACCTTCCCATCTTCACATCTTCTCATCTTCACATCTTCTTATCTTCACACCTGCTCACCTTCTCTCTCACGCCTTCTTTTTATCTTTCTCTCTTAAGGCCGAGGGTGGTGCCGGCGGCGAGTCACGAAACCTCAACCCTTTCACACGAAATGAGGGTCGATCGGCAAAAACTGCGGTAAAATTGCGATTTGACTTGCCCCGGAGCAACCCTTTCGCACGAAATGAAGGTCGATCGGCAAAAACTGAGGTAAAATTGCGATTTTACTTGCCCCGGAGCAACCCTTTCGCACGAAATGAGGGTCGATCGGCAAAAACTGCGGTAAAATTGCGATTTTACTTGCCCCGGAGCAACCCTTTCGCACGAAATGAAGGTCGATCGGCAAAAACTGAGGTAAAATTGCGATTTGACTTGTCCTGGAGCAACGCTTTCGCACGAAATGAAGGTCGATCGGCAAAAACTGAGGTAAAATTGCGATTTTACTTGCCCCGGAGCAACTCTTTCGCACGAAATGAGGGTCGATCGGCAAAAACTGAGGTAAAATTGCGATTTTACTTGCGCCGGAGCAACGCTTTCGCACGAAATGAGGGTCGATCGGCAAAAACTGAGGTAAAATTGCGATTTTACTTGTGCCGGAGCAACCGTTTCGCACGAAATGAGGGTCGATCGGCAAAAACTGAGGTAAAATTGCGATTTTTCGTGTGCTGGAGTAACCCTTTCGCACGAAAAGGGGTTTGTGTGTACGAGCGTTTCTGTGTAAAGATGTTTGTGTGTAAAAGTGTTTGTGTGTACAAGTGCATCTGTGTAAAAGTGTTGTGTGTAAAACCTTCTGTGTGTAAAAGTCTTTGTGTGTAAACGGGTTTGTGTGTACGAGTGTTTCTGTGCAAAGAAGTTTGTGTGTAAAAGTGATTGTATGTAAAATTGCGTCTGTTTAAACGTGATTGTGTGTAAAAGCTTCTGTGTGTACAAGCGTTTGTGTGCAAAAGCAGCTCCTGTGTGTAAAAGGGTCTGTGTGTAAAAGTGTCTGTGTGTAAAGGCTTCTGTGTGTAAAAGTGTCTGTGTAGAAGCGTCTGTGTGTAAAAGCTTCTGTATGTAAAAGCTTCTGTGTGTAAAAGCTTCTGTATGTAAAAGCTTCTGTGTGTCAAAGCTTCTGTGGGTAAAAGCTTTGTGTGTAAAAGCTTTGTGTGTAAAAGCGTCTGTGTGTAAAAGTGTTTGCGATGCAAACTATTGTCTTGCACTTCTCACTATTTTGTCTTGATACTCCTCTTCTCGACTGCCTATAACACAGCTTTCATATATCGTTTCTAATATTGCGTCTCCATACTAACAAGAGAAGACCCTGCTCCTCTACGCTCTCGGGCCATCCGTCGTCTAGTTTCTTTAGCACGCGTTTCGATTCCTGGCTACAGTTCAATTCAGTATTGATTATATATATATATATATACACTTGGGATGTGAGATCTATTGGGATGATTGTTTGGAGCGCTGAGAAACCCCGTAGAAGTGGTTCCCGACATTCAAAGCCACCAATCGAGTGAATGCATCAATGTGCATCAATTAATGGCTGATTTCCTGATACACTATGATACATTACCTGGGGCGAAACTCAGGTTGAGTTGTACATACGTAGCTCTGAAGCATCACTTCGTTCCATTCCTCCCAAACCCACACTTTTGGATGCGCTGAGATGGGCCACCTCAAGTTGGTCCAAACACAACAATCAGGAAGTGACTGCTCGGCAGACTGCCCTCACAGAATTGAAGTCCTCAATTGCTTCGTCAGAGGAGGTGCGATTGGGCCGTTGCTTTCGAGAAAAAAAATCAGCGCTGTGGACTTGACAGGCTGCTGGTAAAGCCAAGAGCAATCTCATCTCTGCAACCAGGCTGGGGACGCACTGATTGGCAGCAGGGAGAAAACCCTCGGCCACCACTTTGTTGCACTTTCATGTGCAGTTCCGATATTCGTTCGCTTGCAGGAGGCTAACCGTGACGAACCAGCAGTTGGTTCAACTCCAGGCAGATTTGAAAGACAAGGCTAAGGACTTCAATTGTTCATCCCTGTGGGCATCTTGTTTTGAATGGAGCACTGCGGAGAAAAGTGTTTTTTCTTGATGTGGAAGTCAGCTTCTTGGGAGGACTTCAAAATGCGGCAAAAGTCGAGAGGAAAAGAAGAGGATGTTATCAAAAAGGAAAGGATGCCCATTTGTTGGCGCATGCCTTTTATGATGCTCAGCCCCTCTCAGGGCATACTGCAACAGTAAAATCTACATTTACGTAAACGGCGCCCCAGCTCATTTGCCGCGCAGGCTGTAAAGATTTTAAGCGGGCCGCAGAAGCCGCAGGTCTCATACTGTGTGGGATGCAGCTGCGGATGTTCGAAGGTCATGCCACCAATGTTAAAATATGGGGCATATGAGGTGGCAACTAGCTTTCTTCAGCTTGCTTCCGACCAAGTGCTGTCCTCAGAGGGCAACGCTTAGAGCCAGAAAGCCAGGAAGGCACTTGTTTTCCGAAGCCAGAGACAGAGTCAAGAGTGTGAATCAAAAAGTGACAAGGCGCAAATCCATGCCTTCAGCAGTCGCAAGGTAGCAGGGAGCTTGTCAAGACATGTTCCTTTCCGTATTTTGGTTTCGATGCTGCTGTGATAATTTGCTGCCTAAAGGTTTCCCAGATACTGTACATCTGCGTTGAATTCTCGAGGCTCGACTGATGAGTAAAGCCACCAGCCCTGGATTGGCTGCGCTGCTTCTGGAGACACAGTCCTCGGGAAGGCTGATTTTGATCAAGTAGCACATTGTTCAAGCCAGTAGTCATTAGCCGCAAGTGAGTCTTCCTATGATGCGAAGAGACAACAATTGATTGGACGGTATCCTACCATGCCGAAAAATATTCGCAGGAAAGATGTATTCCAGAAGGTCAAGGTGCCTTGCCAATTGCTGTAGGCTCTAAGAGTGTGTGCTGTTGATCATGACATATTCACTACATTTTATTATAGTAAAGAGGTGTACCGCCCTGGTTCAGGCGATGATCCATGACATGCTCAGCAAGCTGCAGGAGCAGCAAGCGCAAGATTCACGTCGTGATGCTTGGTGCAAGGCAGAACTTGCAAACACACATGAGTCGAAGGCGGGGGGATTTTGAGGGACCGTCACTTCAGAGACATGGCTTGTCACCGTGTGAGACAGAAATGGGGCTGTTGGTGTCCCTGGAAGGCAAGCAAAACCGCAAGAGCGGATAAGATGAAAACAAAGATGCTTGCCATCAACGCCGAGTTGGTTTCCTAGACTCTGTGTAGGTGAACCTAGCAGTGTTTGACTAGCTTTCTAGCTATCAGTGCAAGATTTCGAGTCTGCACCTTTGCTGCTGAGGCTTGCTTCACTGAAGTCGGACATTGCTACAGGAAAAGAAGAGATTAGTGTGATGAAGGCAAGCCACTGATTCCTGCAATTCGCCCCCCGGCCACACCGGGCCTTTGCTTTCTTAATTTGTCCATTTCCAGCGTTACAACCTGGCGCGCGTTTGCAGGAAGCACTCAGCGCAGCGAAGTTGCAGCGACAGAAAGAAAAGCAGAAGGCAACTCTCGATTGGAGATCCAATGATCCATAAGTGTGAGGAGGTCACGTGAGGGTTCATGAGGTAACAAGTGTGCGCAGTCCATTACCCAAGCATTCATACTGGAGGTATGGTGCCAAGGCCATCCAAGGCCAAAAAAAAAAATGACCGTTTTCATACACATGATACGTATGCTGAATATTATGTAAGTCTCAAGTTACGTAACGACAGGTAGCACCGGCTGCCTGACTTTAACCTTTAGCGCATTTTCCTTGTCGGCGCTGAGGAGGGCACAGGGTTCTTTTTTCAGATTATTGAAGACTTTTTCATTTTGGCCCCACCCTAAAATGGTTGTAGTTTCAATTCCTTGTTTATTCATTGCTGCGACCACATGGTAGAGGTTCGAAGAGCTTTTTGCAGGCAATCTTCTTGGGTTTTCCTTGCCCAGCATGGCTTCCATTTTAAGGCGTTATTTTGTATACATCATGGCCGTAGCCCTCTTCCCCAGCTTCATCTTTGACAGCCACTTTCCTGATCCTACATCCTTATTGAAAAAAGATTGGTCCTAGAAGTCTCGTCAAATCATAGTTGCCCATCATCATCATCATCATCATCATAATCATAATCATCATCATCATCATCATCATCACCATCACCATCACCACCATCATCATCATCATCATCACCATCACCACCATCACCATCACCATCATCATCATCATCACCACCATCATCGCCACAAGCACCATCACCATCAGCATCACCATCACAATCACGATCACTAGCATCAGCTTTACCAGCATTACCAGCATTGCCAGCATTACCAGCATCGCTAGCATCACCAGCATCACTAGCATCACCAGCACCACCAGCATCACCAGCATAGTCACCGCTATCCTCATCCATTGCCTCTGGGCTTTTGCCTGAATGATATCAACCGCATCAACCATCTACATTGCTTTTCTTGCGCTCAAAAAGAAAGATGGGCCAATCCTGAAATAAACAAAATACAGTAATGTAGTGCCAGTGTACCGCACTGAAGTGTATAGCGATGTGTTTTTGTGACTTGCAGCGCGATATAAGGGAAATATGATGTAAACAAAATCAAATGCTGTCGAATATCACGCAATCCAACCTAATCCAAAGTAATGCAAACAACTAGATAGCGCACAACCAAGGAGCGAAATGGTACCGAATGTGGTGTGCCTTATGCATGTGTATTGCTTGCTTATATGTGAATACCCTTGAATGGTTGTGGGTGTATGTGTATGCCAGCAACACCCAATGCGCAAGAAAAGTGTTCCTGCCGACATCTTCAACCATCATCATGAGTATAGTATGCGATGTTCTGTATTTTGTTTGATCTTAAATACTTGTTTTCATTATTTTGTCTTATCCTGTTGTGTTTTGTTAGCATATATTTTTGCGTGGTATGTTGTGTTATGTGTCGTTTTGTTGTGCTCAATTTTTGGTATATGTTGTTATCTTTGGTCGAGTTCTTTCCATGCAAGGAAACCTTGTATCGGTTGTTTCTTGCCTTGCGAAAACAAATTCCAGATGTTCATTCGGTAGTCACGCTGCATTGTGTCTGTTGCGCATGCTGTGCCTCTGACACCCCTTGTTTGAAAGATTCTACTTCTTCAAAATAATTGCCTTGAAGATCTTGAAGACAAGGTATTCCCTTAAGGAAGACGTATTCTTACAGAAAAATGTACTATGTGGAAGGATGCAATACCTCCTTTAATGCACTTCAGCCTCCCTTTCTTTTTTCTGTATGACAGTTGCTTCTAAGGAACGACTTCACTTCTTCAAATTACTGTTGCGTGTTTTGTTCAGGTGTTTCGTTCATATGGAAGGGCATTGCGCATATACTACCATGACCTGGCTCTATCAACAAATACTACATACACCCAAGAGATTGCTTCATAGCAATGCATATTTGTCTTATTGCATGCTCCTTTTATATGCCATGTAATATACTACCTTTCGGATATATAAACCTTTTTAATACAATTTTCTTTGCAATTTTCTTGACTTTAGGATACCTTTAATATGCTTTTGATATACCTTTCAAATGCCATCTAATATACCTGTGATTTGCCCTTAGTATACAATCTGATGTACCTTTAGTATACCATTTGATATTCCAAGAATCTACCTTTGATATATCATTGACCTGACCTTGAAAATACCTTTAGTATACCTTGAAGATACCTTCAACACAAATACCTCAATATACAATGATATATATATATATACACCTTTAGTATACCATTTAACAAGACATGAGAATACTTTGAATATATTTTTGATATACATTTATCATACCTTTAATAAATATATAATATCCGAATATCCGTTGATATTCCTTTTGAAATATTCCTGATATAATATGTATTAGTATATATATATATAAACCATGTCATATACTTTTAGTATATCATTTAATATACCTTTGAAGCAACAATCTAATGAACTTTTTACAATACCATTTCATATACCTTTAGTACACCGATTCATATAACATTCTTATACCTTGAATCTACCTTTATTTATTATTGCTTTAATTGACCTGTAATATACCTGTAGCATATTGCACACATACAACCATGACCTGTTTGCACACATACAACCATGACCTGTTTCTTTCAAAAAATATTACTGTACATACACCGAAGAGCCGTACTTCATAGTAATGCTTCTTTGTATTATTATATGCGTTCCAATCAAATGGTTCACCCCCTTGTGAAGGCAGCTTTGCCCGCACTTGCACCAACATTTTGAGGAATACCACAATCGCTAAACATGGGTACTCAAAGGATCCATTCTGAAATAATGCTGTCCTCCTTCCATCGATTTCTTTACCTCTTTAAAAGAACTTTGCACAGCTGCAAGTCACTTTGAAAATAACTTGATATTCCTTTTAAAAGGTGCTGCATTCCTTTGTAACTTTGCACAGCTGCAAGTCTCTTTGGACATAACCCTATATTCCTTACAAAGAAGTGTCGCGCTCCTTTCTGTAAGGGGGCTGTACAAAATGATGCCTGCCGCTTTATGCAAGCCAGGAATGTAATGTTGGAAAAATATTGAGATTTTGTGACATGGACAGTGGCAAGAAAGAAAACCATGAATGATGAATCAATCTGCATATTCTATGTCAAGAAACTTTGCAAACTTTGCAAAGTTTCTGGGACTCAAGATTCAAGATTTGAGAGAAACTTTTTGAATCCAGATCATTCTTCCAGACTTCCCTCATCAAGACTTAAGGCTTGGAGTCAAAAAGTTTCTCTCAAATCTTGAACCTTGAACCCAAAAAACTTTGCGAAGTTTCCTGGATACAAGATTTCATATACACGATTTATTTATACTAAATCATATTAACCTCCACTGATCTTAGCAGAATATGAAATCAACACATATATATACACATATATATAATATATATATAGTCAATATGGCACCCCCAATACTAACTATCATAGATTCAAACCACTGATCTTGGGGGGTACGATATAAGCATGTATATATATACACGTTGCATGTGTTGTGTCATGGTTTGCTTCGCGTGTTATGCGTTCACATGCTTTGATTGCTGGTTTTTTGCGGCATTGTTTTTGCTCGGTCATGTTGTGTATGCTTTGCTTAGAGTCTACTATGCCCATCATGTGATGATGCATTGTCTCAGGTTGGATTGTATGGACACTGTATATATTGTAATGCAATGTACGGTACCGAATACAATGCAACGCAATGCAATGCAATGCAATTCAACGGAACAGTATGGCATGGTACAGTGTTGCCATGTAATGAAATACATTGTCATGCACAAGAACGAACTGCAATGCATGGCAATGGACCGTAAGGCAATGTGATGCAGTATAACGCAATAGAAGTGCATGTATGTTTACATAAGGACATGTGACAAGTATATAGGTGTCTTCATGTGTACATGCATACTTCATATGTGTAAATGCATATGTACCTAGATGTACCTACTGTAATAAATAGACAACTGTAAATATAAATATAATATAAATACTATTAAAATCTATTAAATATACATATATATATATATACATGTGTGTGTATTGTACATTTATGTGCAGACGTATGTGTGTGTGACTCATCTGTAGAGATGTAAAACTTCGACGTTTGTTCGTTTTTTGTTTCTGCAGGGGGCATGCGGCCATCATGCAAACGCATGCCAACGAAGCTATGCATGATGGTGGAAGCCGGGGCTGATCACCCTGGTGTACCTGCATTGTTGTGACTACCTGTTGTTCAGGGTTTGCTTCCATTCAATTGTCAATGTCTGGTGATGGGAAGAGGCTCAACCCAAGAACCTCCAAGTCAATTTTTTTCTTCACGGTTGCCACAATCTGTATTTTCGCCGAAACCATGTCGCCGATGTATTTTGCTCATTTCGCCGAAACCACATCGCCGATTGTATTTTGATTTTTTCGTCAATATCATGTCGCCAATGTATTTTGATGACGTTTTTGGACATGGAGACCATGCAGGAGAACTTCTATTATTTGAAGATGCATCGTTGATTTCTTTGTTTCCTATCTAATCTGCATGTTTCAGGATTCAGTTCCTTCCGGATCACTCAAATGATCCATTCTTGTCTAGTGTGATTCCTATGGTGACTCCGACATGGTGCCATAGGGCCAATTGAGGCAACCCCAGTTGGGGTCAATGTCGACTGAATTGACTTCCGAATTTACACTTTTGAATTAGTAATTCGTTTAAGTAATGTGCAACAGATGGCCTTACCGTTTTGTGCCTTTGACGAAGTCCCGCCCCTCCTGTGGTCCCAGGGATTCCTCGCCGACGCATTTCTTCATCTTTGAAGCTGTTCTGAACATTCAGAAACCTCCTTCTTTCGCAGCAACCTTTGCAGTTACATTACATGAGACAGAACGCAGGCAGGTACACGATCTTTAGGTGTGGTCTTCTTTCTTTTGACGGTTCTCTGGTGAGGTCAAACATATTGTGCACCTAACTCGCTGGAACTTGAAAGCCGTTTATGCCTATTGTGGCTGACCTGAACAAGGGCCTGGAGTGGCACAACGCACGACTTCTAGGTTTTAGGAACTGAATCCTGTTTGTGATATCATTAGATTTCTTCGATCAATGAATGGCGGATGCAGCGTATCTACCTTTGATGCTCCTTGTCATTCCACGTTGTTCCTGGTTGGTCACATTTTTCGTCCCCTCAGCTTTTGGTTTTCTCAAAATTTCATCTGAGTTATTGTTTCACCCATGGAGAACAAGTGTGACGCAACTTCAGCGGGCTTGGGATCGCCTTTGACCTCGAATCGCGGAACCCACTCTACACTCGTTCCCGATGCAAGTACTATCGATGCCTCTACAAACCCGACCTCGACTCCTTCGGCATCTTTGGAACCAATGAGTACCTCTAGTGACCTAGCGGCAGCGGCACCTATGGACACATACTCAGCCCCTCCTCAACCTGCTGTTCCTTTCCCGACACACGATCCTCCACATTTCAGTGCTCACCGCCATGCACACTTTACCGCACGAGTGGTTCATCAGATTCACTTCAAGATCTTTACACACTCCAACAACGAACGTGAGCTATTTATTGAGGAGATACCAACTTCGGGAATTTCTAAATGTCGAGATCCTGAACACTTCTTCTATGGCCTCTGAATGGTCCTTGCAAACTGCAGCTTATTGGCGCCATCATTTTGAAATTCCTCTACTACATGGGAACAATCCTTTTCGCAACGTAGCCATTGAGACGACTCCATCGCCAGACGAAGCAGGACATGTCACTACTATCCCGGCTTTGGCCAGGCAGTTATCGGATTCACTGACGGCAGCTACGGCATCTGGGGAACTTAGCGACCCATGGAGAATGGTGGCACACATGAGCTTCCACGACGCAATCCAAGTTCTGCAGCAAGCTTCGAGCTCAACTTCTGAATAGACTGACAGCAGCCTTGTAAGTCACAATTTCGAAGGTTCACAACAATTCGTGCATCGACACGTACGACCGCTATATTCTTCCAAAAATGAAGCCCTGCTTTGGCAGGGTGTGTGTGTGTGACTCATCTGTAGAGATGTAAAACTTCGACGTTTGTTCGTTTTCTGTTTATGCAGGGGGCATGCGGCCATCATGCAAACGCATGCCAACGAAGCTATGCATGATGGTGGAAGCCGGGGCTGATCACCCTGGTGTACCTGCATTGTTGTGACTACCTGTTGTTCAGGGTTTACTTCCATTCAATTGTCAATGTCTGGTGATGGGCTCAACCCAAGAACCTCCAAGTCAATTTTATTTCTTCACGGTTGCCACAATCTGTATTTTCGCCGAAACCATGTCGCCGATGTATTTTGCTCATTTCGCCGAAACCACATCGCCGATTGTATTTTGATTTTTTCGTCAATATCATGTCGCCAATGTATTTTGATGACGTTTTTGGACATGGAGACCATGCAGGAGAACTTCTATTATTTGAAGATGCATCGTTGATTTCTTTGTTTCCTATCTAATCTGCATGTTTCAGGATTCAGTTCCTGCCGGATCACTCAAATGATCCATTCTTGTCTAGTGTGTGCGCGTGGCAGATGTCAATGTGTACTTGTTTATACGGCTTTATTGATACATACATACGTGCTTACGCATGTACCTACCCCTGCGCACGCACATACATGCATGCATGCATGCATACATAGATGCATACATACAAACACATACACACATACATGCATGCATACATACATACATACATGCATGCATCCATACATACATCCATGCATACCTTCATACATACATACATACATACATACATGCCTACATAGCTAATTACATTCCTACATACCTATCTACCTACCTACCTGCATACCTACATACCTACATACCTACACACCTACACACCTACACACCTACACACCTACATACCTACATACCTACATACCTACATACCTTACTACGGCCGTACGTTTGTACGTCCGTACCTACGTACCTACGTACTTCCGTACGTCCGTACCTACGTACCTAGGTACCTATGTACCTACGCACCTACGTACCTACGTACCTACGTACCCATATTGTTTCAGCTAAGCTGGTATATGCGTGCATCGTGGAAACACTTCTGCCTGCCCATGGCATGCTGCGAGCCTTCTCAGCAGCTCTAAATCAATGTTGTTAGCAGGGATCTCTGGCATACTGAAGTAGCAGTTGCCGTGTGCTAACAAACAAAGGAAGCAGCTGTGCAGCAACTCCGCGCCCAAAAACACCGAAGGGCTGAAATTAAAAGCCCTTGATGCCGGGGAAAAAAACACTGAATGTAAACTCTGGTTGATTGGTTTGCTGGCAAAGGTGCAAAAAGATGTTGTGGGCGAATGCGGGTGCTTGTGCGTATATCAACATTGCATCAGCTGAATTCACGAAAGCACGTGAAGTCCGTCGAACAACCATGCGTGGCGAGGCCACATCTGATCTCATCATGTATGAGGAGGACTGCGCTTTCCACCACATCATTGTTTATTCATGTTTATTCAATAGCCAATAGCGTTGATTCTGTGGATGCGCCAAGGGAATTCCATTTTTCAGAGATCAGGACACCACTGCAGAACACACAATGCAGGATGTTTCTTTGTTTATTTGATAGGACCAAAGAGTGCTCAAGGAAGCATTGTCAGTTCTTCAAGAAGTATACGACGAAGCACCGGTGGGGTACCGAAAAAAAATGAGTTCTAGTTTGGTGCAGGTTTGTCTTCAATTCAGGTTTCACATCCTCGATGAATCATACATTCTTTGCATGTTTCCCATTGCTCCACACCTGACCAGCGGATTCATTGCATCATGTTTACATTGCTTGACACGACTGATTCTATTGTGTTATACGTCCATCTACATACATGATCATACATGTAGATATGTATGTATGTAATGTAATGTAATGTAACGTAACGTAATGTAATGGTATGTAGGTATGTAGGTATGTATGGTAAGTATGGTGTGTATGGTTGTGTGGTATGTATGGTATGTATGGTATAGTATGGTATAGTATGGTAAGTATGGTATGTATTTTGGTAAGTATGGTATGTATTATGGTACGTATGGTACGTATGGTATGTATGGTATGTATGGTATGTATGGTATGTATGGTATGCATGGTGTTTATTATGGTATGTATGGTGTGTATCGTATGTATGGTATGTATGTAATGTATGTAATGTATGTATTGTATGTAATGTATGTATGGTGTGTATGTAATGTATGTAACGTATGTAATGTATGTATTGTATGTTATTGTATTGTATTGAACTGTATTGAACTGTATTGCATTGTATGGTATGGTATGTATGTATGTATGTATGCAAGTATATGTAGAAGATGTGTAGAAGTATGTGTACAAGTATGTGTAGAAGTATGTGTAGAAGTATGTATACAAGTATGTATATAAGTATGTATAGAAGTATGTATAGAAGTATGTATAGAAGAATGTTTAGAAGTATGTATATAAGTATGTATATAAGTATGTATATAAGTATGTATATAAGTATGTATATAAGTATGTATATAAGTACGTATATAAGTATGTATAAGTATGTACAAGTATGTAGATGTATAAGTAAGTAAGTACGTGAGTGAGTGAGTGAGTAAGTGAGTAAGTAAGTTAGTTAGTTAGTATCGGTAAGTAAGTCAACAAGTAAGTCAACAAGTAAGTAAGTCAGTAAGTCAGCAAGTCAGTAAGTCAGTAAGTAAGTAAGTAAGTAAGTCAGCAAGTCAGTCAGTAAGTCAGCAAGTAAGTAAGTCAGGAAGTCAGGAAGTATCTATCTATCTATCTATCTAATCTAATCTAATCTAATCTAATCTAATCTAATCTAATCTAATCTAATCTAATCTATCTAATCTATCTAATCTATCTATCTATCTAATCTATCTATCTATCTATCTATCTATCTATCTATCTATCTATCTATCTAATCTATCTATCTATCTATCTATCTATCTATCTATCTATCAAAGTGGTTCTGACCTGGTGTGCTTTATACATTTTCGCTTCGAAATAAATGTGCTCAACTTCCAAAAGTGGTCCGAACATGAGGTGCTTTGTGCATTTTGACTTGGAAATGTGCTTCGCGCCACAACGGCGTGCACTTTTTCGACATCTCAACTTCCAAAAGTGGTCCGAACGTGAGTTGCTTTTAGCTTTTTCAGTTGCAAACGTGCTTCGCGCCACAGCGGCGTGCACTTTTTCACCTCTCATTTGGCCAGCTGGCTCCGCACCCGCCGCTTTAGCGAGCCTACTTTTCGACCCTCCGGAGCCACAAATCAGTGGAAAAACATAGTGTTTCGCGACTTTCCTACCTTTTCGCGCGCCTGGATCCTCTTTCTTCTGAGACTTTCTCTTTTTGAGCTTCTTTCTTTTTCTCTTCTCTTCTCGTCTCGTCTCTTCTCTTCTCTTCTCTTCTCTTACTCTTCCCATCTCTGCTTTTCATCTGTCCATATTGTCGGTTTGACTTCTAAACTTCCTTCGACAACTACACTATACTAATTACAACTACAACTAGGTTACAACTACAACTACATAACACTACGCTACACAACGCTACACGACGCGACACGACACGACACTACACTAATTACACTACACCACGCCACACCACACCACGCTACGCTTCACAAATTACACTACACCACACCACTACGCTTCACTAATTACACTACACTACACTACCCTACATTTCCTTACGCTACACTCATTACACCACCACACATGCAACTGCAACTACACTACGCTAATTACATTACACCACAACTACAACTCCACTACGCTACAGCTACAAATACAGCTGCACTACACCACACTACATCCAGCAGTTGTGGATGAGGTGACCGACCAGGTGACCACTGCAACCATTGTAACCACTCCAAAAAACACAACCCCAACCACCTTTCAGTCCATCAGTGGATTTGCTCCGCCATCCGTGATTCACAACAACCAACCTCTCCTATAGGTTTCCTATTTTTGAAACTTCCCCCACCGCCTTGTGCGGTACTACTGGGATAAGATAGGATTGATAGACTGATAGGTAGATACGTAGGTAAGTAGATAGGTAGATAGGTAGATAGGTAGATTCTGTGGATGGAAGAAATCCTCCACCACCTTGGATGGTTGAAACCCTATAAATAATGAGAAAAGCTAGCGGTCAACTGGCTTCGGATTTCTTCCATCCACAGTAGATAGATGGGCAGATGGATACGTAGGTAGGCAGATAGATAGATAGATAGATAGACAGATAGACAGATTTGCGCACATGTGGTTTCAACAGTTTGAGGTGAAAGGGGACAAGCATGGCTACAAGGCCAAGGCACAAGGCCACTGCTGGAACGCCGGAACGCGATGGAAAGACAAGAGACCCATGGTTTTTGGGGTATGCAAGTCCTTGATAGCAGGGAGCAAGTAAGGGCAATAGTTCTGTCCTTATGAATGTTCAGGTGAAGATTAGGTCTGTGCTTTTTTGCATACGTCTTTACCACCACTACCTCATAGCTACTACCTCACAATGACTAGGAGTATGGCTTGCCAAGGCTCTGGCGTCGTTAGTCTTCTGCAAGTTTCGATGGACAATTTTGCTGAGCTTGAAGAGGCCTTTGGAAGTATCAAGTAGGAAGTAAGTCTCATGTAGTTCTCAAGTGATGCAAGCATTAAACACCCAAAGTTGCCACTTGAGGCCAAGAGCTAGGGCGGTGTGAAGTATGCACTGTGTTTGCCATAGCGGCAGCGCCACTCTTTCGCAAATTTCAACCCAACGCTTGTTTTTTTCGCCCTTTGTGCGATGATGTGCAAAGGATCACGGCTTTGCCGGTGTACTTCACAACATCGATGCTGGTATAACTGATGTTTCTCTGTGCGCGCAGGAAACTCGCACAGCTGAAAAGCAGGCATCGGCCGATTTTCAGGCAAGCTCGTTGCACTTTCCGGACATTCAAGTCTGCGAGGGTTTTCGATACTTTGATTTTTTCTGTCACCGCCCAAGACTGAGGAGATGGAGTCAGCCACACAGATAAGGCTTGCGACCTTCCAGAAGGCTGGTGTGCAAGCCAAAGGGACAATCGCTTCATTGGAAAGGATGTCAACATATGTCAGTTCTATCGGCCCCCACTTGAGATTTGCTGTGCATGCCATGTGCTTCCTGTCATAGTGTTCTCGCCTGGTATTCTTTGTGGGTTTCATGTGCTCTCAGGATGCGGAGTACAACAGCCAAACCTTCACGAAACTTGAGTCCGATTTGGTCAGAGGGAATGCCGACCTCAAAAGCTACCAGAAAGAGGTCAAGGACCGGACCGGACCTGTTTCTTTGGAATCTTCGGAATGTGCTCATTGAGGTTCCTTTGGAAGCAAGAGAAACCTAAAGATTAGTTGACCCTGTGTGCGAGGCATTGGACAGCTATTTGGAAGAGCTGGATGCCTCATGCTCTGTCCCTCTCTTAGTCTGCTGCAAGGTTTGGTGGGACTGTTTCTAACGACGTCCCTAGAGCCTCTACTGTAGAGACCAACGGCCTCGCAAGCGGAATGCGCCTTCCCTCTTTTGGCATCACACTACAGTTTTCTGCCTCTGGGAGGTCAAGGGTTTAAGTTTTGAAGAGCGCCAACAAAAGCGGGAACAACAACTGGCGTCTTTACAAGAGGCCCGGGTGATCCGTGCAGGGGCGAACTACGAATCAATTCCCTTTTTTTGCCTGTTCCTCATTGACACTCGTTCTGTGTGAGGCATTACGTTCACTCAATCAGAAAGATTGAGGATTTGCTGCTATTCTCACTTGAGTGCAAAAAGTCTTGGCCCAAAGCACAAGATTCTTGGTGCGGGAGCAAGTGCCAAGACCTGGGCAAGATTCAGGGACGTGCGGATTCTAAAAGGTCAGTCTGATATACCAATCCAAACCTTTGCATCCCACACCTTGAACCATATCGTGCACAAGGAAGGGTGTTGCTTCAGGCCAAGTCTTGCAAACTGTCTATTCATGCCGGGGAAAGCTTTAGACAGCGCAGTGTTCTCCATAGTCATTCAGGTTCTTTCCACAGTTTGCTTGTTTTTTTGAATAAGCCGCAGCCTGTCTCAAAGATGTGATTTGTAGGTCTTAGAAGTTTCTTCAAATGTATCATTCCAGCCGTCGGCAAAGTGCGGCGTGGTGATTCTGCTTTTTTTGGCGTAAGATCTGTAGCTCAACACTGCAGGCATTTACTGATCAAGTCACAATGCTACCGCTGCGAGTCTTGTTTGGAGTCGCACTGGCCCTGGACACTCCTGATTGTGAAGTCGGTTTCGGATACGAAAGACGCGGAAAACCATCAAGTCCCCACCTCAGTCATGTTCTCCGCGTATCCCAGCGTAGCCCGAAATCCTAGTCCTAGGAAATGGCAAACATCCATGGCTCTTGAGTTGCGCGATGCTATTATAGAGTGTCAATTTGCAGACAAGCTGCTACAAGAAAGCGTTTCGCCACTCACGGTCTTGATTTTTTTTGATGGAAGCCTCCTTCAAGTTTTTGTTCTTGATCCGACCTGTGGTGCCGATTGTTGACTTGAAGTCAATTGGCAGGTACCAGCATCAACAGCTTTAAAGCTTGCCAAGCGCCAGGGCCTCTATTTGACACAAGTTGACTGAGTAGTAGCTTGATAAGCACGCTTAGTGCAACTTTGTTCCGTGGGTTCAACAGTGGCTCACACATGCTAAAGTACGGTAGTAGCCCGGACCAGAAGTCAGTTACTCCGAAAAGGATGGCAGTAACCCCAAAAAAAGTTAACCTTACCCGTCTTCAATTTTTTTCGCGGTTACCGGGGGTCCTCCACACATGCGTGTCGGCTGTCGGTCCGGCACAGAGACTTCAAGAAAGAAGTCAGTTCAACAGCCTTCAGGACCTGTTCTGATCATAGTCAGTGTGCTCACTTCACCTATGACTACAAGACACAAGGCATCCCGGGAGCGTTGCACTTTGTGCTGAGCGGAATAGAGGAGCTAAAAATAGCAAGAATATGGCCAGATTTTGCGGGGAGGTACGGACAATTTTCCACATTGCTTGAGCTAGTAGCTTGAGCACTTCAGTTTCAGCATTTTCCTGGCCCATGAATGGAAAGAAAGAATAGATCCTATTACATTGCCACGAAGAATTCTACAGGAGCCTGATACTACCCTGTACTCAGGGGCTGTTGCTGGAGCGTTTCATACCGTGGACCCAGAATTCCGTGGATGTATAGGTACCTATCATGAAGGTATATGAGCATGGACCAAAGTTTGGACCGCCGTGCTGTGAAGCCACTCTGCACAGCTCCAAAAGGATTGAGAAAAAACACGGCAGCCTCGCAGCGACCTCCCTTGAAGTGCGCATTGTTACTGACATGTTTCCCAGACAACACAAGCAGAGCCGCTTCCCACACTGGCTACAGCCCTTCTAACTCTAGAAAGGATGCTAGGCGCAAGGCAGCTTATGCCGAGCCCAAGGGGTCCATTGATCACCTAGACGTTTTTGCAGCCCCTCAATTTTGTGTCTTGCTTGTCTGCCGATGTAACACAGCCTTGGCATGCAGAATGCTGGTTGCTGGGCGGAGAAGCAAGCCTTGAAGCAGAGGCTGGGCTTGGAGTTCTACTCTCGACATCCGCCAAGTAAGGAAACTTCAAAATAGTTGCCCGGAATGTTTCTGCAACAGCTACACCAGATGTCACTGAAGATGTTCTGTGGTCGAAGCCACTTTGGCTTAACCCGCTGATGGTGGGAGGCAGTGGGGCCATTCAAACTCAGCCTTGGGGATAAGAGTTTTCAAAATCCATGGTTCGCGCGGTAGGATTAAATGATCAAAGCACATCAAAACAGAAACTAAAGTCAGATGAAACCCAACTGCCAGTTGCGAGGAATTTGCAATGTTCCACATGTTTTCCCTGAGCCGGGGCGTCCTGTATTTTGCCTTCACACCACCTCAGAATTCTGTGGTGTCTAGCAGTTGAACAGCAGTTGAACTTTGCGCAGGTCAGCAGCATCTCTGGAGCCATCGAGTGCCAAATGCCCACGTTCAATCGTTTGACGGTGCTCTGTGCTGGGTGAGATGAAAGTGTGGAGTCGGTGAAGTTGATTTGGGTGGAAATCCAGGGTCCCTTTTCAAGCGGCATATTTTGAGCCACTTCAAGGCTGCATACAGGTTCGGCGCTATTTGAATGCATGCATCAAGTTGACACACCATGCTGTCTATGATTCTTTTAACCCCCGATGTGAGCAGGAGACAGAGGAGCAGAGAGACAGGCGCATCCATCGGATGATTGCCACCATGGCTGGCAACGTGGCAAAGAGGCACTGGAGTTCGGCCATGGTCAATGGGTTTTCAAGGGGGGTCCAGGCCGGCAATCTGACGGGGGAAATGATGAAAATCACTGGGTTTTTTCTTTGTTATTTTCAGACCAACCCACATTGTGTGTGTGTGTGCGTGTGTGTCTGTATCCACACATTACAGCTGACTTCCCGTGGAGTGGAGAACTGGTGTGCTTGCTGCCTTGACCTGAAGAGTTGCTGCTTGAAGCTGCAGGGCATTGTGTTATATTAGAAGTTACCCCACGGGTCGTTTGATCATATAATAATTCATTTACCAGCTCTGAAAATCTGCGGTGTTTGCGTAGTCATTGATTCATTGATTGTTCTCGGTTCGGCTTGACAAGCCTCTTAAGAGCAGACAGACATCAACACACGTCGAACGCAATCGTCACTCTGTGTTGCAGGAGCAAAGACGAATTGGTGATTGGTGTGGCCAAGCATATGGAATATGCCGCGCGCAGTGGCTATCTAGCTGAGGACGTGTGATGCTGTTGCAGACATGCAAGCTGCTGTTGGCCTCGTATTCATGCCCCTTATTTTTCATTTGTGCAGCGGTCAGCTAGTTTTTGACATGTGTCACTGTAGGTGCCATTCCAAGCTTTTCATGGATGACATCGTAGAAATGGTGTAAAGATGTTTTTCTTCGTACGTACTTGCCAAAGGAAGTTTATATAGAAATTTTTACTTGCGTGTTACGGATCTTCGGGCGTAATGCAATGGATGTCACTGCAATGGATGTCCCTGGAATCGATGTCGCTGCAATGGATGTCATTGCAATGGATGTCACTGCAATGGATGTCACTGCAATGGATGTCACTGCAATGGATGTCACTGGAACGGATGTCACTGCAATGGATGCCGCTGCAATGGATGTCACTGCAATGGATGTCACTGGAACGGGCGTCGCTGCAATGGACTGATTGTCGCTGCAACGGATGTCACTGCAACTGGCAACTTTTAGTTTTGACTGAATTCTCCCACGGAAACTTCGTTTTCACATCGTCAACTTACACTTTTTGAGAGAAGTCTCGCACGAAAGCTTCGCTTTTACGACCTCAATTTCCAGTTTTTGTAGAAGCCTCGCACGAAAGCTTCGCTTTACATCTTCAGCTATTTCGCTTTCTGAAGGAAAGCCTCACACGAAAGCTTCCTTTTCACATAGTCAACTTTCACTTTTTGAGGGAAGTCTCGCACGAATACGTTTTGAGAAATGGCGGAGTGCGAAATGCTGCACTTTGCAGCAGAGGAAGGTCTGCCGCGCGACGGTTGCGAGACGGTCTCGGGTGTGCCGGGTCATGCTCGGATCATTCTCGGCTTGGCCGGGCAATGCAACTGCCACTTCAGGCGTCGTTTTGGAAACTTGAAGTTGTCAGTTTTTGAAGGAAGTCTCGCACGAAAGCTTCGTTTTCACATCTTCAACCTTTAGGTTTTGGCTGAAGTCTTGCACGAAAGCTTCGTTTTCACATCGTCAACTTTCAGTTTTTAATTGAAGTCTCGCACGAAAGCTTTTGTTTTCACATCGTCAATTTTCAGCTTTTGGCTGAAGTCTCGCACGAAAGCTTCGTTTTCACATCGTCAACTTTCAGTTTTTGTTTGAAGTCTCTCACGAAAGCTTCGTTTTCACATCTTCAACTTCCAGTTTCTGAGGGCATTCTCGCACAAAAGCTTCGTTTTCGCATCGTCAACGTCGAAAGCTTCGTTTTCACATCAGTACACAGCACCCTTTGAAGGAAGTTTCGCACGAAAGCTTCGTTTTTACATCTCAAGTATCTCGCTTTTTTATGGAAGTCTCGCGCGAAAGCTTCGTTTTCACGAGTTGAAATTGCAGGGTTGTGGTATAATGAACTTTCGCTGTTTCTTCTCGTTTTTGGCGCTTTTCATTTTCCTTTACATTTCCTTTTGAAAAGTCTTCGCGAAACCGTACCTTTTTTTTTGCTTTGGCGCCGAGATCTTGTTTTGGAGCAGGTTTTGGGCCAGAGAAGAGGTGAGATTATCTGAGAGTGAGCTGCGAAGAGCTGAGATGAGGCGAGAAGGGCTGAGAAGATGTAAGAAGAGCTTCGAAGATGTGAGAAGAGGAGAGAAGAGATGAGAAGACATAAGATGAGCTGACATGAGCTGACATGAGCTGACATGAGCTGAGAAAATCTGAGAAGAGCTCAGATATGGTGAGATTTGAGGCGACCGGGCATTAGAAGAGCGGTGAAGAGCTAAGTTGGAACGAGCTGCGTAGAATGGAGAAGCTGAGAAGATCTGGAAAGAGAAGAGCTCAGATGAGCTGAGAAGAGTTGTGATCAGCTGAGAAGAGCTGAGAAAAGGAGAGAAGACATGAGATGAGATGAAATGAGGTTAAAAAAACGCTGAGAAGACACGATATGACATGAGATGAGATGACACAGACCGCGGTGGCAATGGGATGCAATGATCAATTTCCAAGAGAAGCTGCGATGAGATCAGGGCTCGGTTCTATAGGCTCTAAGCATAAGCGTTTCAATTTTGAAACTTCCGCCCCCGGGTTGTCCGGGTACTACTTGTAATACTTGTAGTTCTCTGCGCTTTCA